AGCTTGTGACAAAGTTTCCTAATCTTTTCAACCTCAAGATGTGAAACTTCATTTCCAAAAATCATTGGAAAATAATATTCAACCAACTTCATTTTAAATCTTGGATCCAATACACTAGCTACTGCCAAAATTCCATGAATCTCACTCCAATATTTTTCAAACTTTTCAATCATACTTGAAGCCATCATTTTGATTTCCTCATAAGGCGATTTCATCCAATCATAAATTGATAACTTTATCTCACAAATATTAGAAAAATAAAGATTTGATGTTGGGTACTTAGTCCCAGAAAATATTTCAGTCACTTCAAAAAAAACCTCCAACCTGTCACATATCTCTTTCGCTAATTTCCAATCTTCATCACTAGGCAAACATCTATATTGTGACTCACGTTGCTTTAGTCGAGGAAAAACATATCTATACTGTAAAGCACCATGAAGCATTAAGTACGTAGAGTTCCACCTAGTTTTGCAATCAAGTGCTAACTTTTTGGAACAAGAGATTTTCAATTGACGTGCAGAACTCTCAAATTTTTCTACTCTTTTTGGAGTTGCTGTCCAATATGCAACACTGTCACGAATTTTCTCAACACTCAAGTGAATGATATCCAAACCATCTTTAACTATCAAGTTCAATATGTGTGCACAACAACGCATATGGAAAAATTCACCATTTAACAAAAGCGAACTACTAGAAAGCTTATCTAAGAGAATGTTGATCATGGCATCATTTGTAGTACAATTATCGACAGTCAAAGTAGACAACTTACGGTCGATATTCCAATCCAATAAACAGTCCATCAATGATGTACTCAATGCCTCAGACGTGTGTGGACACGGCACATATATGAACCTATATTAAAATAAAAACAACATAATTATGACATATAATTTTAAATAGTACATATAAATAAGCTAAATAATTTATGCAAGATCAAAGTACCTCAAAATACGACTTTGAAGTTTCCAAGCGTCATCTATAAAATGCGCAGTGATAGCCATGAATCCTTTCTTTTGATTAGAAGTCCACATATCTGTAGTAATTGCAATTTTTCCATTGTTCTTCTCCAATAAGCGCATCACTTTCAATTTCTCGTAATCATAAATTTTCAAAATATCATTCTTTATAGTGTTACGAGAAACGTTCTTAAACAATGGTTGCAAAGCATTCGTAAATCTTCTAAATCCAATGTGTTCAACCATTGAAAGTGGATACTCATGCAAGATTATCATACTTCCAAGTTCCTTCCGAGCAATGTCCTGATCAAAGGAATAAGTACCCAATGAAACCTTTCCACAAGCTCCCTTTACTGGATTCAATACTGTCTGCCTAATGTCCTTTTGATTTCGGCGTGGACATGTTTTCATATGATCATGCAAATGTTTTGTCCCATTCTTACTTTTACCCCCTAATTTTCTATCACAATAGTTACAAATTGCCTTCTCGTTCCCATCAATGACTTTTTTTTTGAAGTGATTCCACACTACCGAAGTTAATTTCCTTCGCTTACATTGTCCACTGCTCTCCTCCTCTTCCTCACACAAATCTATTGGATCTTNTCCACACTACCGAAGTTAATTTCCTTTTCGTACCTCGTCCACTGCTCTCCTCCTCTTCCTCACACAAATCTATTGGATCTTGTTGTGTGTTTGCCTGACTAGGTAAGTCTTCCAACGATGGATTATTACTTGATCGTACTGGAGTACTTCCAATACTCGGTACTGGTGTACAATGATGTGAATCATGTGATCCAAACATCTGACATGGAAAAAAAAAAGTATACTACTAAATAAACTCACTTTTAATTACTATTTGGTCTTCAATTTCTACATTGACTACATTATATACTACCAAATCTACAACCCAGGCAATAACTCTAAAATTAAACCCATATGCAAACTCTCTGTTATTCATGAAAGTGAACAAGCATCTCCAATCAAGTGAACAAGCATCTGACATGAAAAAAAAAAGTATACTACCAAATAAACTCACTTTTAATTACTATTTGTTCCTCAATTTCTACATTGACTACCAAATCGACAACCCAGGCAACAACAGGGAAACTGCAACTGATGATGTTTGGAACAATAGGGAATTACTGAATTAGGGACTCACTGACTCATGTAGTACCTCCAAACAATTAAAGAAACTGCAACTGAAAATGAAAATGTAGTACCTCCAAACAACGAACAGGTGACGACGATTGCACAGAAAATTAGCACAACTGAAAATGAAAAAATTAACACAGAAAGAACAAAAAATTAGCAGCTGAAACTGACGAGAATGCACCGAAACTGCGAAAAATTAGAAATCGAAAGTCGAAACTGTGTTACTGTAACTTGTCTTACCAAAACCAAATCGCTGGCGGCTAGAGATGATGGACGGCGGCTAGAGACGACGATTGCACAATTTTGTTTTGGTGGAAATTGAAAGTAATCTCTCGGTTCTCTTCCTCAGCTCACGCCTCACGCAGTCACGCCTCGAAATTGAATGGATTAGGGAATAGGGATTTCCGATTTCGCCATTTAGGGTTGCTCCTTCTCCTCTCCTTCTCACTTCTGGAATCTGGGACGGGATTGGGGGCTCAGGGCTGGGATTAGGA